TCCACCCCATCTGTTCATTGATCATATGGATGCATATTCTTGTAGATTTAATTCATTTACTCTAAACACTTCCTGGAGCCTCTTTCTCCTCTGGGTCTCTATTGACAAGTGAAAGACTGTGTTCTTCCTATGTCTTCAAATAGCGCCTTGAATATTAGAACCCTTTCTTCATTGCATTCCTGCCTCTTCTGTAGTTCGAAAGCTCTGAAGGACAGGAAATCTGTAGCCCTTGTTCTTATTGCATAATAGGAGATTGGAATCTTTTACTGAATAAATAAATGAATAAGTAAACATGAATTTTATTTATTCATAGAGTTGATCTCTGGACCACTGACTCTTATTTTTTAATCTGTTGATTTGTGATGATAAATAATTTTGATAAATCATTTCTGCTAGTGAGGAATTTATGATATCTCAAGAAGTTTTTAATATCAACATTAATTTTAATTTATTAGGTTAGTATTAACATTTTTTTAAATTTTAATTTCTTAGGTGTGTAATAATATTCTCTTGAAATAAGAAGGGATAACAGAAGAAAACAAGTAGCTGTAATTTCTGAGCTTTTGCTATGTGCCAGGAGTCTTCTAAGTACTTAAAGATGGATATTCTAAGAAAATGTACTTTAGCCTCTTTTTACAGAATAAAAAATTACAGAACAGTGATGTTAAGTAATTTGCTAAATGTCATATGTACAGATAAATTGATAAATAATGAGATGGCAGGTTTGTGCACTTCTTCTTCCTCTAAAACCATTCAGTAAATATTTTCTGAATATCTGTATGAGGCATGCAGATACCTGGCACACAGATACAGAAAGGTTTGAGTTTGTCTGTCAATAAGAGAAATTGACAAATGAGCCATCAATTATAACATGGCCTAATTTTTGCTGTGCAGAAGTATATGTATCATTCTGGAAGTTTCAGAAAAGGTAACTACTTAGCTGAAGTGGCACCCCCACTGAGAAGCTGTTTTCAACTTCCGTCATTTGTAGCTGAGCCACAGTGATAAGAGTTACAAAGGCAAAAGAAGGATGAGAGGAAATTCTGGGTAAACATCAACTTGTGCTCAGGCATGAAGACTCCCTTTCCTTTCCATAAGATTTAGTTTAAAAAGGAAATTCATTTTCCTGGTTAGACATAAAGACAATATAAAGGTATAAAAGATACCACTACCTTTTGTCTTTTTCTATAATTAAAAAATCCTGGATCAAAATTTTCATCTCATATTTATAGAGAGAATTTGTCTGAGTCTCAGAATCAAATAATATACTGTATCGGGTATAGTACATTATATCATGTGGTAAATATTGACCATCATAAAATTGTTGTCTATATATTTATTGAGAAAACTCACTTCTTTATGCTGTGGTAAGCACAGAGACTCAGTTATAAAAGACAGAGCACTTGCCTTTTGGAAACCCAGTGTTGTTAGGAGAGTTATTATGCAGAGATACAGCAAATTATGATGAACCATAACAGTGATGTGCACAGGGTTATCTAGAAGCATAAAGCAGAGGTGCTTCTTATGCTTAATACCAGAAGTCAGATATATGAACATCTTAGGATAGTGATGCTTGAAGCCACTCTTGATATCTCACTCTGCAACCATAAAGAGTTAATTTTGGATCAAATACTGTTTATTTTATGTTAATTTTTTTTGATGATGGTGCTGATGAAACACAATGGTTGGTCTTAAAACGCACAGAAAACCACCTAACTCCATAGATCCAACTAAAAGATGGGGGCATACATGGGCTAGAGTAATGATGATCATTTGGGTCAGCTGCAGTGATGTGCTTCCCCAAGGTGTCTGGTCAATTACAGAGTCATTAAAATTAGCACCTACACATTCAGCATTGATTGACTTCAGCAATTAGGAGCTCACCAGGGCCATAGAGTAAAAACAGCAATAATTATGTATCATCCGTGATTGCTAGTACTCCTAGACCACTAGGCTTGGGGTGAGCACATCAACAAAAAAGTGATTTAACTTTAATATGTAAAATTTTATTTTGTTGTTTTAGTTATTTTACTATAGGTGAGAAAAAAATCAGACAGGTTAAGGTGGTTGGATAACCAAAGTAGATTTGGGGAAAACAAAGGACTCTATTTTGCTTTTTCTTCTTTTTCATTAGTTCATACATAAGAAAAAACGTCACTTGAAACAACAGCTGCTGTTTTTAAAGATAATATAAGATTTTAAGAAACTACTGAAGAAGTTAATATTGATTTCGGACCATGAGCACACGAAAAGATGCATAATCCAGAATAACGATTTTGCCTCCCATTAACAAACTATAAGCCAAGCAGATAGGTATCCGTGCTAGTTTTTAATATTGTGTTTCTGGGATGCTGGCCTTCTCTTAGGAATAGAAGGTGGTTGTCATTTCAAGGAAGAAACTCAAAACAGCAGGCAGGGTAGGCAAATAAACCACCTGTAACTACTCATTCATATTTTGGAAAAACTCTTAACCACTGAGCTTTCTTTCTAGTTTGAGGCTCCTCAAGAAACTCATTTTCTAATGTTCATGACTATGGTCTTGTCAGAAGAGATTACCTGTGGATCCAATCAACACTTCAGTGTGGGGATATGCAGAAACACCACCCATAGCCCAGCAGTTGCTGCAGTACTTGACTAGAAATGATGATAAAAGGATTACCATCTGCCTGTATTCGAGCAGATTCCAATGAAGGGAAATGTCCAATTGCATGTCCCATGTCTATTTGAGGAAAATTATAAAACCCGTATTAGGAAATGTCAGTTTTCTGGCAGAAGAAAGCAGTATTTTATGTTTCAAGCATAGACTCTGACTTTCAGATCATGTATCAATCGGAGAAAACTTACTGACAGTGATAATAGGGCCCTAAGGAGACTTCTTTTCTAAAGATAAAGAGTGATTATCCTAGCTAGGCCTTTGAGTTAGGAAAATTAGTTTAAATAAGTAGAGTTCTGGGAATACCCCAGGACAATGATTAATTTACTTTTTTCGAATAACTCACAGATTTTAATACTTCCTTCTGTTCCTTTCTTTTTTCTTCCCTTCCTGTTTCCCTTCTTCCCTTTCTTCCTTTTTTCCTTTTCCTGTTAATCTTCCTTTGTTCCTTCCTTCTTTCATTCCACATTTGACTATTATATGCCAGGAAATAAATATATATGCACACACACATACACACACACACATATATATGAATATAAAGTACATAAAGAGAAGCTCTTCCAGTAGTTTTTTGTTTTGTTTTGTTTTGTTTTTGAGTTGGAGTCTCACTCTGTCACCCAGACTGGAGTACAGTGGCTGCTCCCGACCACTGTAGCCTCGATCTGCTGGGCTCCAGTGATCCTTCCGCCTCAGCCTTCCAAGTAGCTGGGACTACAGGCGTGCACTACCACGCCCAGCTAATTTTTTGATTTACTGTAGAGATGAAGTCTCGCCAAGTTGCTCAGGCGGGTCTTAAACCTGCGGGCTCAAGCAATTCACTCACCTTGGCCTCCCAATGCGCGGGATTACAGGCTGAGCCATCGAGCCTGGCCTCTTCCAGTAGTTTTATTGGGTGTGTGTGTGTGTGTGTGTGTGTGTGTGTGTGTGTGTGTGTGTGTGTGTGTGTGTGTGTATTGGGAGGGTGTTGCTTTTACATTGGAAAAAATAAACAAAATTATTGATAATAAACTGTGATAAGTATCTTATAGTATTTATATCACAATAAATATTTATTTATTGTAGGAGGAAAATGCTTTCCCTGTGATAACTGAGACATTTAACAGAGGTAGTTGCTTTCAATTGTGTCTTAAAGTACAAGTCAAAGAGGATTAGGTGAATCTGGAAGAGAGTGTTTCAAGGCAAAGACAGAAACAGATGCCTACAGAGGTTCATAGGGGGTGAGGAAATGAATGTGGCACTTTCAGGGAATGGTAAAAATCTTTCAATGTGGCAGGAGATGAGGCAGCAAAAGTGAGATGGGACCTGATTGTGTAGGGTCTTGGGCACCACACCAAATATTGAAGATATGCGTACGTTTTTTTAACATTTGTAATGTAAATTTATTGGTGTATTGGGTGCTACAAACTGAATGTTCATGTCCCTCCTCTGATGCATACTTTTAACATGCATTTTCTAGCATGGATTGGGTGGCTGGGCTGAGTGGCTGAGGGCAGGCAGAATTTGGAGGAATTTAACTATTTTTCATGTAGAAATGGAACAAATTAAATTTCTGCAAATTCTGACTTTAAAAAAAGGTGCAGATGTTTCCAAGTTTAATTAATCTTGCTGTATAAAAATCCTAGAGATAAAGTGAGATTGCCTATATTATTTATGCAACAGAATAAGAATTATTTTCTACTTAATATGGCTCATCACTGTAAGATTACACAAAATAATATGTGCCTCAAGGCGTTTCAAATAGGCTTTTATTTTACTTACACATATGGTTTCAGTCACATATCAGAAAATGAAATGCATCTGTACTTTTCATCTCATACTGGTTCAGCAAGACACAATGGTCACTCTGTGCTCTAGCTGTCCTTGCATTGATTGAATAATTTTTTTTTTTTAACAGAGTTCATAGGGCAGTAGTAGGTAGCTCTGCGAATTTCTAATGAAAAAGCTAATTAGATCAGTTTTCTGCGTAAATCACTATTTAAGTCACCTGGCTAAAGCAGCAGTATCTGCCTGATAAGTTTTGAAAGTTTAATCACTATCAGTGGGGTGGTTGCAAGACTATACATACACCATGTGTAGCAGCTATTTGCATGTCCAAGCTAATCACGTGCAATATCCTTGCCAGAGTTCAGCCTGGCCTTCATCAAGTAAAGTTTTCATTATAGTTTTTACTTGAAGTGGAAATTTTACTGTCAGGCTATATAAATAAATAGAAAAGATATATTCCAAGGATTGTGGTTTTAGAAGCCTGTGGATATTAATAGACTGTGGGCCCTGCCAAGTTTCTCCAAGACATCTGTGAAGTCATTAATGTGGATGCTTCTTTTCATGTTTCTCTATTTTTTAGGTCTGTGATGGGGTCAAACAAGGAACCAGACCTTGTGCATCTCGAGGCTAGAACTGTGGATGGTCGTAAGTAAATCAACTTTGCCCCAATGTTCATAGTAATATGAGTTCTATCAATCTGTCATGAACCAGGTCTGTATAATAATCTCATGGTCTATGCATAGTAATGGAGGATGTGTGGTTTCGGGGGAGTTTGAGTTCCCAGGTGATCTGCTTCTTTTGGCTGTGAGTTGGTAAAATGCTGGTATCTTTTGCCTTTGCATTCAGAAGAGCTAAGGTAGATAGGCACAATAGTGATAATTTAAGTCATTTGGGCATGAAGACTTTTCCTGTCCTCAGTAATGCAAAACAGTCCTAATTTTCCTAAATGTATATGTGCATATATATTTATAAAAATAAACATCAATAAATATGTTATCCAGAAATGAATAAATAAATGTGTGTGTGTGTGTGTGTGTGTGTGTGTGTGTGTGTGTGTGTGTATTTGGTTAGTGATGAAACTACCTCAGCCTTCTCATTTAATCAAGGTGTCTTTTCAGGCAAAGAGAAAATTCCAAGACCCCTGATTCCTAAAGTGTTTTGTTGATGCTGCTGTTTTGTTTTGATTCACTTTTTCAATCTCCTTATTTTGTTCAGATATCATCTAGGCAATGTCTCACTGTCTTGTTTTAAACACCTGTAAAGAACAGGAAAAAAGAGAATCCTATATGTGTCCATCATAAGCAGCTGGAGGGAAAGTCAGTTGAGTGAATTGCTTACCTTTTGGTATCCTTTATCAACTCTAACTGGGGATGCTACAGCGAATGACTACAGTTACAGAGATTGTGGCATTAGGTACATGTTATCAATGAAAATAAGTTGCAGATCCAGAATTCAGACCCATGTCTGAATGTCTCAAAAGTCCTCTCGTTAATTGTGCCATATTGAAAAAGTGGCTTAAAGTCTTTTTGCCTCAGTTTCCTGGTCTATAAATTAAGTAAGTTAGTAATAATGATTCCTATGGTAAGTTGCTAACACTGAGCAATTACCCTGTGCCAGGAATTGTGCTAGGCATTTTATATACTTTATCAAATTTAATCCTCAGGACAACTTTGTAGGTTGTTATTCTCATTTTACAGATGTAGAGACTAAGGCATAGAAGAAACCAAGGCATACGTACATTAAGTAATAATATACCTAAAGTTGCATGGTAAATAAGTAGAGGACAGTAGTGTCTATCTCACAAAGCCCATCTAGGTAAGGATTAGAGAAACTAATGCATAGAAATTACTCTACACAGTGCCTGATTTAACAAACATTTAAACAACAACAATGTAAGTTCCTTTCCCTTTCTTTGCTACTGAGGACCCTCAGAAGAGCTACACGCATTTGAGGAGATACCACTAGGCCTAAGACAGAACACTACAAGTGAGAGGGATAAAATAAAACAAGAAAAAGAAATTGTGTGTGGAAGAAGAAGATAAAGAAAGAAAAGGAGCCCAAGGGCAGGGGATGGGACGATAATGGACCACCCATAGTTTTTTTTTTTTTGAGTTGGAGTCTCACTCCATTGCCCAGATTGGAGTGCAGCGGCCGCTCCCAGTCACCGCAGCCTCGACTTGCTGGGCTCCGGCGATCCTTCCGCCTCAGCCTTCCAAGTAGCCGGAATTACAGGCGCGCGCTACCACGCCTGGCTGATTTTTTGATTTATTGTAGAGATGAGGTCTCGCTGCCCAGGCGGGTCTCGAACCCGCGGGCTCAGGCAATTCACTCACCTCAGCCTCCCAAACACCCATAGTTTTCACAAAACAATGAGGCCGCCATAGGCTGTCCAGTACCCGGCTCATATTTAAGAAATACCCTGTTTCTAAAATATCCCTCTCAATTTGAAAGTATCCTGTATTTGTGACTGTCTACCTCTCCTTAACCCTTCTGAACACAAAGGCAAAAGACATCTTCACTTTATCAGCTTAGAGCCAAAAGAAGCAGGCCATCTCCACAATCCAAACTCCCTCAAAACCACGTATCATTCATTAATATGTACACACCATGAGATTTTTCATCTCTAGAGGTGTTGTTTCCCTTTTTAGGTACTGAATATGTTTTTGAGAGTCAGTAGGAAGGACACAGATGAGGGTTCAAAGCTAACCTTTCTTTTTTGTAGACCCAGGCAAAGTTGCCATATGTAGTATGCCCAGCACTGTGCCTGATGTGGAATAAGCTCCAGTTAAGAGCCTCTTTCTCACCCCTTCAGTGGGCTCTCTCTGGTGGTGACTCCATTTCCATAGGGCGGATGATGGTATCCTGAATGTCAAGTTCCAGTTCTTACTACATAACAGAGAAAGCAAACTTTCCTTGAGGCAGAAATAAACATGTCACTGGTTTAAAAGTCTCGTTCGCTCCTCATTGCTCTGATGATAATGAGCAAAGTTCTCACTTTGATCTAGAGCTCCGGCATAATCTGTTACCTGTCCATTCCCTCAGCCAATATTACTCTCTCCTCTTTTACCTCTTTGTCTGCAAGCATTTGGGCTCACTTTCAACTATTGGATCATACAGGGTTCCACGTTTTGCCACAAGGCCCTGATACCTGTTTCTTCTATCTGGAATACCCTTTTCTCTTCCTCCTACCCTGACCAATTGAGTATGATTAATCACTGTGTATGGTTCAGACTTCAGGTTAATCATCTGTTTCTTAGGAAAGCCTTTCTTGAACTCCTGATCTAAATCAGTTATTGTTTTTTTTTTCTTTTTTATCCAACTATTTTTTTCTGCATTGCATTCATGTCAGTTTGAAAGTATACATGTTATTTATTTTAATTATACATGATTATCTGATGACAACTTTTTCTCCCCTCCAATCTGAGTTCTAGGAGAGCTGGGACTGTGTATGTCATGTTCAGTATTGTATCTCCAGAACTGGGGTGTGGTGGTGCAGACCTATACTTCCCAGGTACTTAGAAGGCTGAGGCAGGAGGATTATTTGAGCCCCAAAGTAGTTTGAGGCCGTGGTGTGCCATGAACACAATTGTGAATAGCCACTGCAGGCCAGTCTGGGAAATATAGTGACATTTTGCCTCAAAAAAATAAAAAATACACACACACACACATTTTCAGGACATGCCACCATGTCTCCATGTAGAGGCATCTTACTAAATACATGTTGAATACATTTGTACATAGTTGACCAGTTGTCAGAATTACAGGTTGGCTATCTCACCTCACCAGATTTTCTGAAAATGTTGCATCTCATAGCAACATTAGCATGCATTCTACCTACCTGGGGATCTTGTTACAATCTGGATTCTGATTCAGTAAGGACCTGAGATTCTGTGTTTCTAGCAAACTCCTAGATGATACTGACGCTGCTGGTCTTTGAAACATGCTTTGAATAGCAAATTTGCGCAACAGAAAATTAGTAAAGAGCTTTAGGGTCTGTTTCTCATGACTACATTCCTTATTTAGAAAACTCTGGATAGAATTGGTAGCATCCCAGGCTTATTTTATTTTTAAGCGTTTGGGAATGCCACTGCTTTCTGGTTTATGGCATCTAACGCACGTGACCCTATATCCTAAAAACAGTACAGCCATCGCTCTCCCTGATATGCATATTTTCTTCCACCATTATTCCTATGCCCCCTGAAGGCACGGTGGTTGATAATGCCAAACTGTAATCTCAGGCTCAACTTTCACAAGGCATGAAACATATCAGTTCTAATTTTATTTATTTTATTTTACTTTTTTTTGCAAAGGCAGCATCTTCAGAAACTATCCAAGGGTAAAAATTCAATAAAGGGATTTAATTTGAAAAGTTATCCCTGTCAAAACACAACAGAAAAAAAAATCTACCAATTGATATAAAGGATCTAAGCAGAAGACCTGTCTCAGTGTATGAGAGAGAGAGAGAGAGAGAGAGAGAGAGAGAGAGAGAGAGAGAGAGAGAGCTAGAGCGAGAGAGAGAGAGAATGAGAATGAGAATGAGAATGAGAATGAGGTTATCTTGGTATAATACTCTCTCTCTCTCTGTCTTTCTCCAAGGCAGTCAGTAACCATAGCTCTAGGTAAAAGACACGGAGAGGAAGAGGAGGAAGAGAGAAAATAGCACAGAGATGTCAGAGTAGCAAGGTATTAACAAATGTAGCTGGCAAGATTTGAGAATATTTCTGTCAAAATCAGGCTCTGGACTGATCAGTTGCTCCAAGAATTCCATATCTATATGTTATCTCTTTCTCATTTCCTGATTGAGGTCCTCCCTTTTTTCTCTATCCTTTCATTATTGTTTAGTAAGAAATTTAAGTATACAGAATTTATTGTTTATATTCAAGTTTGTATATTTCATAGGATATATATCAAAATGATATAATAATTTTGTCTTTGAACAAGAATTTTTTTTTTTCTCATTTTAGTGTATTCAGGAATTTTGTAGTCAAGGCACTGAGACATTTGACATGGGAAAAAATTTTTCACTTGCCAATTTGGCTCATCTCTGTGGGGTAGGTTGCATATGCCTATCTGGGTTTGCTATTCAAAATTTAGTCTCGATCTCATTTCAAATGTCCCTAAATTACATTTTATAATTAACTTATTTCAATTGAAATTCCCATATTTTCAGGGAGGTGAGCGCTAGAAAGCTTTTGTTTTGTGAGAGTCTATGACTGGCACAGACCTTTCTTCCCAACTGTACTCTGATACGTGGATGTCTTATAGCTTACCTCTGTGACAAGGGCGTTATTCTTTCTTGTATTACTCTCTGCCTTGGGAGGTAAACTGAAAAGAGCAAACTGAATTGGAAAATTCTGAACATATTTATTGGATGTGGCATTTGTTATTGGCCCCTGAGTTCAACTGAGGACAAATTGATAGGTCTTCATCCAGAAAACAAAGATTTTATTGTTTGAATGTTATGTGTATGTGTATGCACATGGTAGGCATGTAGCACATTAAAATCCTAAAAATAAATCCTACATTCTGTTGTTTACCTAACATAGGCACATTTGTGTATATGTGTTTAATACATGTAGTTAGAAAATGTTGATCAAATTGTAGGATTGAAAGCATTGTGAAAAGCCATGTCTTATTTATTCTTC